ACACACACACACACACACACACACACACACACACACACACACACACAAGGTAAATATCTGACGCCCTGCCAAACCACACTTCAGTTTTTATTCCACTAATAACAGAAAATGTGACTCTCAACTGGAGGTATAACAGGAGACGGGTTTATGTGAAGAAGAGTGGACCGGCTGCTGTAAATCAGGCAGATGGGAGAACCAAAAACTCAGTTTTTTTTTTTCTGTTTCAAGTTTCAATGTTATTGGAATAATTTAATCTTACTGATAATAACAAATATATCACTGGAGTCAAATAAAAAATATCCAACCAAGTAAATTAAATTGTAAAAAAACAGTGTGTTTTGTATTTATTTTGAAACACAGTTTTGCTATGCCTCTGGAGAAATGTTTGACAGACTTGCTGTTCTGACATGTGCCCTAAGGTGACTACATTGAGAGGATGTGGTCATCGCAGGACAAGTCGGACATAAAAGGTATGACCTTCATCTACTGAGGAGGATGAAAAGACTTTCCAAATGTAATGAGACCATCCTGTATTTGTTACAGTGGAGAGGGATTTGGACCTGAGTATCCTCAACCACCGCCCCCCTTCACACTTGTCCAGCCCCAACCATTTGGGCAGCCTTGGGGGTCCTGGAACTCTTCCCATCAAGAGCAGCATTGGTGACGGTCAGACCGCCGCCCAGCATCACGGTCTGCCTCATCCAGCCAGCCAGAACCACCCGAGTCCTCCTCTGCACCCACAGGCTACACATCTCTTGGGCCACAGTGGACTCTTGTCTCACCAGCTCTCCCCCCAGCTTGTCCGTCAGCAGCTGGCCATGGCCCACCTCATCAACCAGCAGCTGGCCGTCAGCCGCCTGCTCACCCACCAGCACCCACAGGGGGTAAACCAGCAGTTCCTAAACCACCCTCCTATCTCACGGACCTGTAAAGCTCCTGGAGCTGGTCCTGAGCCCAGCCTGAACTGCTCAGGTGCAGAAGTCTCCTCTGACATCTACCAGCAAGTCCGCAACGAACTGAAAAGAGCAAGTGTTTCGCAAGCTGTGTTCGCCCGCGTCGCCTTTAACCGCACACAGGTAAATATCACCAGAATATCTCCAAAACGTTGGAAGACGGCATCTTTTCTTTGAATGTAACATGAAGTTGGCTGCAGGGTTTGCTGTCAGAGATCCTTCGTAAGGAGGAGGATCCTCGCTCGGCCTCTCAGTCGCTGCTGGTCAACCTGAAGGCCATGCAAAACTTCCTGAACCTGCCGGAAGCCGAGCGAGACCGCATCTACCAGGAGGAGAGGGAGCGGAGTACGACCACCAACCACAACCACTCCACCACGCACATCTCCAGCGCCAACACGCACAGACACACACAGGTACACACAAGTCCAGACTAAACAGACAAACTCCAACTCTGTACAAGATGAATGTGTGATTAAATCCATGCGTCTGCCACCAACAGTTTAATAAATACGTGCAGGTATTTGTGCCTCTAAAGTATGATGAAGACAAAAAGGCTGGAACTTCAAAGATTTTTTCGATGGGCTCAACCGACAGATGTGCTGTAGATAGGGAGAGACATGCAAAACAATCGACGTACAGCCAAGATTAGACTCGTGTTGCTGTTTGGAAAGCATTTTTTGTTTTCATTTTTAAAGTGAATATGAATACTGGAGTAGTTGAGTCATTATTCACACAAAGCACATTGTGCTCAGTGCGTGTCTTACCCTGTGCAGACGAAGTGCAGCGCGCCGGGTCCAGAGCTGCACCAGAAGCTCGATTCGTTGGCAAACATCACATCAGGGATCTACGAGGAGATCCAACAAGAGATGAAGAGGGCCAAGGTCTCTCAGGCTCTGTTTGCCAAGGTGGCTGCTAATAAGAGTCAGGTTAGTGACAACAACAAATAGTTTTGCTTCTTGCTGCCGACCTGACACCCTGATCCCACCCTGCTGGACATGTCCTCACAGCTCTCTGCTGATAGTCCACGTGGCTTTCAGTGTGCTGTGGGAAAATCAAGCCTAAACTCGCCCTGAGGTTTGAGATAATACCACAAATATCTCACTGCAGTGCCTCAAGATAAAGAAATGTTATGTAACTGAGGCAAAAATGTCAGAACTGTAAATGTAAAGCTTTCTGACATGACTAAAATATGTTTACATCCATTAACTTCTAGTTATTCATACATCTGCATAAACATACATACACAAGCTGGAGTTGAGTTGATAATGTTTGAAGGAGCTGATGAGGTGTGTGACCGTACGGGGTATCTGATTACCCGCTGTGGCATACCTTCATGACTCCATCCTCAGATAAACAATGCGGGTGATTGAAATCAAAGCAGAGTCTTGCACTAGAGGGAGAAAAGGGATGATGAAGAGAAAAAAGACAAGAAAAAAAGATTTTAAATGATTTCTTTCTTCCTTTTAATGACATCATGCAACCTTTTTAGTAGAAATACAGAATTTAAGAAAGTGAATATGAGTGAATGACACACAGAGAACGATGCTAAAGAAGACAGTTGGACAAGAAGACAGTGGGATGATCACATTATCGGCATTAATTTCCAGACTGAAGGCTGTGTATAAACAACAGCTGGTAGCAGATCCTGGGTCAGCCTTGCAGAGATAATGCAATCTTCACACACACACTCATCTCTGATTTTTCCTTCTGTTCCTCTTCGATGGGAATAACTTCCATGCAGTTAAGTTAAAAATGATGTGTGAAATAAGTTTATTTGGGAATAGGATTACAGAGCAAATGCTGTAAATTATTTTTTGAAAATGTGCAAATTAAAAAACATAGATTTTATAGAAGTCTTAAAAGTTAGTTTGGTTTTTAAATGGGGAAGAAAATGTTTTGTTGTAACCCATTTATTGTTTGGAGAAAATGAATCCAAGGAGTGGTCGACTAATAAATGTCACTTTAAGAGTAAGGTGCATATTTGAGTGCAAAGTTATAAGCGGCTAATGAGTCCTTTGATATCAGAATGACCTTGAGGGAAAATATCTTGAATGGCAGATTAGCAAGAAAAAACCCTACATTTGGTGAAGAACTGCATGAAAGGGCTATGCACATGCTGTTCCAAACAATGTGGTATTTCCTCTAACACCCAAAAAACCTTTACAAGTATATTTTTCCCCATTCTGTATCTGCTGGAGCCACAAAAGGTCAGTTTGAACAGAGAACATAAATCTGCTTTCTTCCTCCATGCGTGTTTCAGGGTTGGTTATGTGAGCTGCTCAGGTGGAAAGAGAGCCCGAGCCCTGAGAACCGGACCTTGTGGGAGAACTTGTGCACCATCAGAAGATTCCTGGCTTTACCACAGGCTGACCGGGACCAGGTCTATGAGGAAGAGTCGAGGCAACAGCACAGTGACAGGATCAACACTGTCCTGCACATCCCAGACCACCAGGTAGACATGCAGCCAGCAGCCGGCGTTCAGGACCCTGATATCTATCCCCTATTGTTTTAAGGTCCTGTGTAGTTCTGAAAGTACAGCAGAAAAATACAAGGACAGGACAATTAGGAACAAGCAAAATACACAAATCAAGGCGTTTTTATGAGTGACAAAAAGGGGAAAAGCAGCAAGTAAGTGCAGGAAACCCTCGTCTTTCTCTGTCAGGTCCCACCACCTGCTCCTCTCAGCCACCCTCCTCTTTGTCATGTTTGTGTCCCATAAGTCATTGAAAATAGAAGTGGTAAATGACCAGCCCACACATTTCCTGCTAAACACTCCTCCATCCCACCCTCTCCCCAAAACCAAAATGCTCTGCAGTCTGGCCTTAACCTCAATATTATTCAGAACACAGCCTGTAATTATTGAAGCAGAGAAAAAAGGAATTGCCATTATCTTTATTTAGGTCCTTTAATTTTGATGGGCCACAGATTTATAGTGTTGGATTCCTGTGTTTGAGAGTGCTGGCCACCCCACCCTGTTAATAAGCTCTAGTAGTGTGGTTGTTTGTATGATGAATTTGGGAGTTTAGCAAGCATGTTGGTGGGTGATGGAAGCTGGTCAATCACGCTTCCTCTTGTAGTACATTTCCTTTGACAGCAGAGCAATGCTAACAGACAGGTTACAATTGTAGCTAAATGTTTGAGGTTATTAAGCGCATGGGATGAAACTGTGAGAAACATGCTGGTTGGAACATCTGTACAGATAAACAAAATTATAGGTCATGAAATGTGAAAGGCATGTGTAAGATTTTCAAACCATAATTGGCTCAAATATCTTTTAAATGGAGCCCCACAATTAACATAATTAATATAAAACCAAAGTCCCAAATTGGTGAGAAAATATAGTTCTTTTTTTTTTTTTATAGCGGGAATATAAAGTAGTTTTAAATAATTTAATCCTTTAGCTTTAGACAGGAGAGCAATTATTGTGAACAAACAGTGATGGCTGATTAAAATTCTGTTTTTGATTTGCAACTCAAAATCCATTTCCAGGACTAGCTAATTGATCTTTGTCGAGATTTGACTCAGCAGTCATCTGTTGATGGCAATATGAAACCTGATGTCCACATGGGGGAAGCATCTAACCTGTAACAAGCATTAGTTAAGATTTTTTATGATGGGGGAGTTTACCTTTTCTGACCCTTCCGAACAAACTTGCCAGTGAAAAGAACCAGAGTGGTTAGTTGTTTTTATCCATACTGTGAGTACAGTCCACAGCAGACTCACAAGTTTTTCTACACTGGACATACATGAGAGCAATTTTTTCTTTCTCCAACTTGATAACTCTTATGGATGGGCTTCTTTTTTTCAAAATACAAACGCGTTGCTCAGTTTTAAAACACTGAAAGTAAAAGTGCAAATGTATATATTAAATGACTGTATTTCCTATTTGACAGACCCTTCTCAGACAGCCTCTGCCCCCTCTTACTGCCCCATCCCCAATTCACGAAGACCCACAGCCGGTCCCACTGCTGCCCGTGCTCCGCAGCTCAGAGGACAGCCCCCAGCGTGGGCTGAGTCCTGCTCTTGGAGCTGGAGGAACAAAGAAGGCTCGATCCCGGACAAGGATTTCCCTGGAGGCCTTGGGAATCCTGCAGAGTTTCATAGGGGATGTGGGACTCTACCCCGACCAGGAGGCCATCCACACACTGTCGGCTCAGCTGGACCTGCCAAAACACACAATTGTGAAGTTCTTTCAGAATCAACGCTACAATGTTAAGCACCACAGCCAAACCAGAGAGCCCATGCAAGAGGATGAGGATGGAGAGAGCTCGAGTCCCAGTGATGGAGGTGTCTGCATCATTGAGAGCAGAGGAGAGGAGGGCCTCTCTGTATCTGAGGAGTCAAGTGAGGATGGCAGAGGTTCAGTGGAGGCTTTCCGAACAGAAGGAGACACAGGAGGAGATGTAGAGGTGGAAATGGAGGCCGAAAAGGAAGAAGAGGAGGATGGGAAAACCTCAGGACCCGCAACTTCCTCGCTGTCTCCCTACAGCAGTCTGGACAGCCCCCGCTCTACAGAACAGCAGAGATAACAGCAGAGACATGAGTGGAAACATCCCATCTAAGCAGAGGACATCGACAAACTGTGAGGACCACACACAGAACCTGTGAAGAAACACAGACATATTCATCCCCATTATTGTCACAGTCACCTTTTCCAGAGCTGACAATCAGAGCTCGTTAATATCTGAAGAACTGAGGAAATCTATTTATGTGTGGACTGACTGAAAAGTAATCAGAAGGTATTGTGACTACCTTTAGATGTTTCCATTTTGGTTGATTTATTGCTGCCTGAAAAGTTATGGGACGTTACTAAATGCCAGTTAAAAGAAAGAGGAGCATTTAAAGGAAAACATTTCCCTCAGAACTTGGTGGGTGGGAAAGAATGGCAACTGCATTAGATCATGACCAGACGCTCGTTTTGAAATGAATTATTCCTTTGGTTCTTTTATATTTGAAGAAGAGCAGCTAAATCTGTTTAAACACTCATCTCTATTCCTAAAGAATACTGACTCTTCCAGTTCCTAAAGCACAACCCAACTTTCATTCAAATATGATTCTAATCATTTCAAAAAAGAAAAAAAACATTGACTCAACAGTATTGGACTCAGTGTCACCATGAAATGGTTCATATCTATAACTGTGCATATGTTTCCATGCTGACCTCCACCCAAACAGGGTACCTGTCATCAATAATTATGAATTAGTACAAACAAGATAAGCAGGGAGGGATTAGGGGATAAGTGGTAACGATAATGGATGGATGGAAGATAAGGAGGGATGAAAAACTGCAGACAATGAGGCTTTTCCATCACGTCGGAGGTTGAAACCTTCTGTCATGCTCAGGTGAGATGAGTCATAGAGGAATGGGGACGAACAGCTGACACTGGGCTGTAACAGGGATGCGTTGTTTAAAATATGGGCATGCAGGGAAATGACACAAGAACCTCTGTTCAAGCTGACGGCAACTTATTTTTGTCATTTTTTTAATTTTATTTATATGTTTTAATGTCATTGTCCTCTCCCCAGTGCTTTGGGACGTCCCTACATTGACTGAAATGTATGTGAGACTGTCACATAAGGCTCTTATTGATAATAAACAGTACAGCACTTCAACCATTTATATTCATTGCTATCTTTAAAAAAAAAAATTAAAGTATTGTCCTGTGTGAACTGTACTGTGACAAAGGCTGTGGTAAGTGGAGAAACGCCAACCCTGCTCCTATTGGAGGTAATCAACTCACTGATATTTCAGTATTTTCTTTGTTCCTGATTCCAAATGAAAAATTATTTAGATCATTAAATGAACCATTCTAATGGTAAATGCAAAGGTAAGAATTGTCACAAAAAGAAGTGACTAGTTATATTTTTCCTACTCTTCAGATACCTGCTGTTCTTTGTAAAATAAAGACCATCTGATTAAAGTTTTCCCAACAGATTCATATTAAAAATGGATTCATATGTAATTGTTTAAACCACCTCACACCCACAACATATAACATGACATCCTCGGTGTGGGGAGATGTCTGTGATTAATCACTGGCTTTGGGACTCATTAGGATGGATTAATTTATGAGTGGTGCTAACTTTGTGCAGCGTTGTGTGTTCTTTACTTGCCAGGACACCTGCTAACAATTTGAATCAAGTGAGCAAATCCAAAAAGTGATCGTCAGCATCTTGTTGTCAATACTGAAGGCCCGGCATGCTGGTGTGTGAGATCCTTGATGTAAAAATGTATCAAGTATTGAAATTTACAGTTCCCATTATACATGTTGTCACACACCAAGTTTTTTTTTTTTTATGAGGACCTTCCCCTCTAACCTAGGACTGTTTGAGTGGAAATGAGTGAGGAAAGTAAACGTAAGAGTCACTAATAATATCCGGCTAAAGTGTGGAATGTCTTTTGCACGTTTGTTTTATGTAGTTTTGTTGTGTTCATCAGTTGAAACGTGATGGAAAACTAATTGGAGATCACAGTTAACTTGCATCTAATATTACAACTGCATCAGTGAGTGCTGGTACGCTCCACTGCCTTTCTGCTCACACAGCTGGCTATTAGAGCCGTATGGCAGGCTGATATGGGGCCATTAGAGGTGTGTGTGTGTGTGTGTGTGTGAGCTGTGGGACGGGGACGCAGGTGCTCCGTGGGCTGATATTACCCAGGATGCCTGAGGTAGGGGTGTGGGGGTTATATAGGGAAGGAGGCTCTCTGTGGAGCTAGCAATCACACCTGTGATCCTCAACTAACATGTTCATACACTCAAACACACACATACTCCGTCCCCTCGGTCCTTGGGCTGCAGCGCGTTAATACACACTCTGATAAACAGGCTAATACTCGCAGCGGCAGCTCTTTCCACACCATTGAGCACAACACATGGCAATCGTTGAAGCCAACACGTGGCAGTCAGTGTGTCTGAGGTGTTTTGGAGTACTTTTCACTGCACATGCACCCACATTTAATGCCCACAAAATATGTCCACACAACAGGGTATAGTGAGGTGTGTGTCAGGTAACGCTCTGACAAATGATCAAACACTATTTTTAATATTTCATCCATACAGTCATACTGATATAAATAGAGGAACATTTTTGTCCATCAAAATCTGATCTGTTTTGCTGGATCATGTTATTTTAGGCTGATGAATGTAAACTAAAGAAAAGAGAAAAAGCAGAACATATTGGTTTATAAAACACAATGCTCATTACCTGCTTATTGTGCCAAATAATTGTGGGTTTAGTCCTTCATGCACTCATATCATCAGCTACACATGGTAACACTAAAAGCTGTGATCTACATCACAGCTTTTAGTCCATGAGAGACACAGACATACAATCACAGATGGTGAAAACACCCCTCAAAAAAGCCAAAGATGAAACGAGTCAGAAAACAACCACATCACATCTCCTTCAAAAACAAACATTTAATTATGGCAACTTGGCTGCATTAGTGGCAGACCAGCGGGTTTTGATGTGCGTCTCTAAATAGCTAAATACACTGAGCCAGTTAACATTTCTAACGCCCACAAAAAGACACTCAAAGCAAATCACTTTTCGGGTAAATGAAAAACAATTCAGAATTAATTGTGCTTTGACTTCTAAAAGTCTGGAATCTGATCATTTAATGTTCCATTTCGTGTCATAAAAAGCTACATTTCTCGTGAAAACAAAAAGCTGCATGCGAATTCATTTCTACGGCCAAATTAGGGTGCACACTCTTTATTTTGGATCAACACAAGTTACATTTACTGTTCTTTTTCTCACTACAGCTGATCAGCATTTTATGGAGCTGGTGTTTGATAAAACTTTTACAAGCTTACAAAGTAGCCTACAAAAAGCACTCGATTCCGTCAAGCTGCATGGTTTGCTTTCTGTGTCACCCACAGCCCTAGAAGAAGAGACGACCTTCGACAGGAGGGGTCTCACACAAGTTTCTTTAAACACAAGTGAACGATGTGGAATCTGCCTGTGCTGGTGATTCATAATGCCGAGAAAAGAAAAGAGGTGAATGTGCTCCCCGGGCACATCGATCTGAGTGATCCGGCTCTGTGGCTGGTGTGATGTGGTGACGTGTGGGCGTAATAGAAGGAGACAAGAGTATGGCCCATTGTCTCCAGGCCAACAGCGTGCTGAGAGCAGTCACACAGTGCCCGAGTAGCTGCTGATTTGTATTGGCTGTATTTTACGTCTAAGTGCAGTCAGAGGGTTCGTATCTGCTCCTGGGACCTCTCTCAGTCTCTGCCTGGACACGCCGTCCGGCCGGACAGGAGCAGAGCGCCGCACGACCAGAGGATCAGTGTTTCTCACTTCACCTGGAAATGACTTTCCTGATGAGGATTGTATCCGTCACCGTTTGCATTACTGCATCCCTGAGCTTCAACCGTGGGACCAAGCGACTAAAGCAGAAAGAATGATTTATTAAAGCGCCGCGGTTATGTAAGGCAGCAGTGGCTCAACTCACGCTCCGTAAATAAATGTGTCACTGCACAGGGAACGCGCGCCACAAACCTGGATTTCATCACATTTGCTTCTGCCAGTTTTGAAAACAAACGATGAAAGTTTCTGATTAGTTGATCTAACCTGACAAAGTTCACCCTCATCCATCAAACCAAACCTGAGCAGGGTCACTGACTAACTCCCAGGCCCGCTGTGGAACTCAGCGCTTGACGGAAACTGAAAGAAATTCCCCAAAAACAAATAAAATAGGAACACAAAACCCATGTCTTGTCGTTATTATTTCAAAAACGAGATACGTGAATTTTTACTGAAATAATTTTTCAACCAAGTCTCACCCCAAAAAAATTTTCTCAGTCATAAAAATCTAATCAAACAGGTTTCAAGGTGACGCTAATCATTCCTCAACCCTCTGAAGTCGCGTCCCGGGCCCGGCTGTGGTGTGTAGCGGTGGAGGAGGACAGCTGGGGCTGCGGGTTCAGCTCCAGCTGCAGACGCTTGAGCAGAAAGAGCCACCAGGTGTCTGATTCCAGCCTGTTCCTCCTCCAGCCTGTTCCTCCTCCACTGGCTCCTGCAGATGAGCTGTTTCTGGAGCCCCACACGCCCCACTGCTCGCCTCCCTCACACCAGACAGCCCAAAGTACGTTTGGTTTCACTTTCAAACGCACCCCGAGACATTGTTTCATTAGCGGATGGTGGGGGGGGCAGCTGTGTGCTGAACAGGAAAGAAAAAAACAAACATCCTTTTTGTTTCCTTGACTGCTTTTTTTTACAGGTCAAGGGAAAGTGTCTTCTGGTAGTTTAGTTAAAAAAAATTGAAAAGGCCTCATTCACCCCAAAGTAGCTTTGTTGCTTAATTGTAACCAAATATGGTCGGTGCCTTCTTTAATTCCAATCAGTAAAGACAAAGGGCCTCCTGATGGGTTTTCTTGTGTCAATGCCTGTAAAGAGGACATAACTCGCCAGGGTAAGATGTTTGAGGACTTCACTTCTGGCTTCAGGAAGGGAATCTGGAAAACTTCAGAGATAATAATGTGAATAACCAGTGAAGTTCAAGGCCACTGAACATGCAGCATGCTTTGTTTGTCTTAACAGAATAGACTTTTTTTGGTCCTTGCAGGAAAAGAAGAGAGATTGCTTTCAACGTATTTGATTTATTGACAGTACCTTCACAAGCGTGTCTTTAAATCTAACACTGCTAATTAAAAAACAACTGCAACAGCAATGTTTGTCTTTTTTTT